ATTGAGCGTGTCCAGCGGGCCGCCACGAGAATGGTTGCCGGCCTCAAATCCGTGGACTACGAAACGCGTCTCGCGATGCTTGATCTCTTTCCCTTGGAGTACCGTTGCCTCCGAGGGGACCTAATTCTTAACTACGCCCTGTTTGAACAAAGCTTGGCAAACAGATTTTGTACCGTTAACCCAGCGAACACCCAGCGGGGACATAGTAAGAAAATTTTCAAGCTCAGGGCACACACATTCATTAGACAGAATTTTTTTCATTTCGGGTAGTAGCTGCGTGGAATGACCTTCCTCCGACGGTTGTACACGCTCCCTCTCGAACCCAATTTAAAACACTATTAGACATTTATTTATGCGAATCCTCGCGCTGGCAAGCATACTTCCCTGCGCTGAGAAAACAAAGAGCATGGCTGCACCCTTTCTTCACTTGTGCTTTTTAGGTCAACGACAGCCACTGACCGACAAGAACAAAACCGACCCGGGAAACTGGGGCAAAAGCCTCGATCCTGTGTATCAATCCGTGAATCCGTGGATTATATCATACACGCGGGGCGCCGGTTGAATATTAGCCTCAAATGCCTTCTCTGCCAGCCTTGTGTTTGGTAGAGGCTAGTGACGGTCAGCAGGTGACTTTGGGAAGAAATGCAATATCTCTCAACATTAAAGAACAAAAACGACAAATTAGTATATATTGACCCAAACAGATATTATCATGACGACGCCAGTGACGGCCTCGCATGGAGGCTTTCGCCATTATTTGGTAACTGTCACCCCCTGCCACACTAAGTTCTTGGCACCGTTTGATACAAACTGCGTTTCCATCCTCTCCAAATTTGTCTGTTTTTCTCGTTATTGTTCATGAGAGAAGCTGTATCGGCTAGAATGAATCGACATCGGCAAATGTTGTGCGGGCTGACAGACTGCACTGAGCTGAGTCGGGGAGAAAAAGTGTTGGAGAGGTTTTTTCCGCTGTCCGTGCGTCAAAATTTTGGAAATGCGCTCTTTTTCTTTCCTTAAACGATTTGCATGCTCACTGCGCAAGCAGTGGGTGCATATTTTTACCTGCAGACCGACAAACAAAAGTGGAATAGGAGTTTGGGAGCCTCAGCTAATGACTGAGCTAATGATTGGCGGACAAAAGCGGACAGAAAAGGAGCAAGTCCCATCCGGATTATTGGGCAATCTACAACATAATTTGAAAATAAGCCGCTGAATTTGTACTTATGGTGAAAGCAGCTCATCAGTTTTACACACAACGGACAACTGGGGGATAAACACGTTAACGGATGAATGATATGCTGGCGGGATTGTGACTTGTTTTGAGGTGTGCTATAAGGAGGACAACAGGAAATGCAATCACTACTTGCTTTCTTAAGCCATTCAGGGCCGAGCGACCAGATGCAGAGACAGCCTGCTCAAATGATGCAGTAGGCATTCGGTGTACTAAAGGATAGACCCATTGTAGTAGTACAAATAAGTGGGCCGTTTTCAAGGCCCGGAGGAAAATCTCGGGTTGTGTTTCCACATTTTTAGTGAAATTTGATTTGAAATCGTCACATTCTGAAAAGAAAAACAAAAATATGGATTTGATAGGTACTCTGATTTGTGTTGTTCCAATGAAGACCGCGAAGAAAATGGACAGCCTAAAATGGCTGGGCCTAAGTGAGAGCGGCGTAGTTTTTTGGAACTGCCGCGGCCAGACAAAGGGCACTGACTTGTTGGTGAATTTCTCCGTGAGGTTGCACTGGGAAGGCATGAGCTTAACAAGGCGAGAGCCAAATTAAAACCTACCTTAACGCTGTGTGAACGACAAACGTTGGCGACTGATTTCACAGTCCACCTTAAGTCCCTTGGAAAAGTCTTAAAATCATTCTTTATTTTGAGGCACGGAGATCAGCATAGCGCCTAAGAATGCGGGAATCTGTCGGTAGCATACGGAGAGAGACTGTATCATCCATTACGTTGAAAATGAAATTACTCACGCTTATTCGGTCCTCATTTGTAACCCCCGCCCCTGTTTTGTGTTTAATGTGTATATATGAACTGACGTTTGCTTGTCCTCATCACCTGACCTATTTGGGCTTGAGTTTATCCGGCCATTTATAGCCGACTTTGCGCGTGTAACGCCGCTGCTATTCTCACAATGAGATTGACTTCTCGAAATCTACGGCATTTTCAGACTTGCCACTCCATAGTGTAGCATGTCTATGTATAATGTATATACTCCTGTATTATTGAAAATCCTTTACTATGCCGATTTGTTTAAGTGAACGAAATCTCCAGGTCAATAAACACCGCCGACTGTGAATACGTTACCTGATGATAAAAAATCGCAAGTTGTGGAAAAGGTTGACCCACAATGAACGTAACTTCCAGGTATTTTTCCACCTGAACAAATTTCCTCAACATTCTATAATCTAAATGGCCTTTGAAAATGCAACATATGCGTAGGTGCATTCGAGCAAACAAATTTTGGTCGATGATTCTTTGTTTCCAGTAAAAATTCCGTAGTGCACCCTAATTATTTGCTAAACATCGTGCACGTTGGTTGGCAAATTACGGAGTTTTTCACTATAGGTTACGAATTATGCTAGAAAGACCTTGAGGTTCATCGATCTTAACCGACGCACACCACTAACATGCGGCCAGGGGTACACGATGCCCAACTAATCCATCCATCGGTAACAGGGAAATGGCTCAAAATAAACGTCTTGAAATTTTGAGATATATTAGTCGTTTTGAAGTTTACATGCGTCCTTCTTTGAGGCGCATTTTCTTCTTCGTGAGGAGCGTTCATTTGGCCGTTGAAGTCCTGAAATGAGATATAATTTCGGTTATCGAGATATCACCACAAGGCGGGCGGCCGACAAACAGGTAGAGATGCTTACCCCAAAATTCACTGCAGCGACTATGCTGTCGTAGATGCCCGTTCACACATTGCCGTCTTCAGCGGCTCTTTCGCATGCCTGTTTACTGTACCTCTCAAGAAATACCAGACTTACATGAAATGCATGGGGCCTCATTACCAGACAAACTTTTCGGAGCCGATGGGTCACATGAAATCATTTTCGTCTCTTTCATCTAGCTGGCGCTCTACAGAGTCAGTCGTAGTTGTCAGACATTGGCTCACGGCTGTCGAGTAGTTCCTCTGTGGACCCGAAAACACGGACGCACACAAACTCAGGGAACAAATTGTGCTGGGACTCCATGCTTCGGTCCAGGTCAACATCATATGACGTCCTCTTTGCGGACCGGGTAGCAAGCACACCTCTGTGTTTTCTGGATGGGCCCGGAGCTAAGAACCAAAAGTGATTTATTTTCATGTGGGCTCACCTTCGGGACAAGCCTGAAGAGCACCACCACACAGTGGTCAAGGTTCACCGTCACAACAGTTAGCGTGATATGACACGCGATCCGTTGTACACCAGCGGTCACTGGTAGTAGTAGGCCGGTCAGAGAGCACACAGAACCCCAAGTCAGCGTTTCCAGACCGCCATCTGGGTTGATGTGCAGTATCCTCCGCCACTAACGGCATCTCGTCGGTTGCAGACTTTGAGGCTTGACGCAGCAGGATTTGTCCCTCAACAATCAACCGCTTAAATATGGCGGTGGCCCTCCTGGGTTCCAGCCTTTGAAGCTTATCCATCACCCGATTGAGTTGTTTACGGAGACCGCCGAAAGCTGTCGGGGGTGGTTTGGGAACAAGTGTAGGAGGTACACCCTTTTCCGGTAGGTTGCAAGCTGACAGCCATCGTTGGTGGATTGGAAAGAAAGCTAAGAAAAGTCAATGATGAATAGTTCTTACTGCTCGGAACGGACTGATCTCGAACTACAGAGAACAGGTGTACGCAGGGGAGCCACATCGCCTGATAGAAAGGGCATGTGCATTCTCCAGCACAGGTGTCGACAGTCTGGGAGCATCTGGGTGTTTGCACCACAAACTATAAGTTAGTTTACGTAGCTCGACCTCACCTTGTTTGTTCCGACACTTTCATACGGCATCCGCGGCGGTCGCGGACCCAAGTGCCTCAAAACGAGAGAGCATGCATATGTCGTCATTCGACAGACTACGTTTAGAACGTAGGCGTCACCCTCCAGGATTTGCCGCCTGTCGCAGTGGTACGACGTATGCATCTCAAACTCCCGCATGAGCCACTCGGCGTGCCGGGACACCTTTTGAATGGCATGCTCCAACGTGTCGGAGTGGTGCACCTGATCTTTAAGGCGCCCGTTCGCATTCTCCAGTCGGTTGTTGGTCACATTACCGAAATGAACCATTCCGGACTGTGCGTGTATGGCCCATTTTCGGGTGATGTACAACCAGCGAGCCGTAAGATAGGAGAGAAAACGGGGGTCGGTTCGACGCAGAAGCTGTAGATCTTGTCGGAATCTGTGTGCTTGTAATATGATGAACATAAAACCTACTGTACAGCATTGTCCAGGCGAGCCATGCGGTGAAATATGTGCCGGCTGTTCGCAGAATGTGTCTGTGACCATAAATACATGGATATTAAATGATACATACGTGCTTCCTGATGGCTTTGCGGACGTGAAAGTAGCAAAGCATAATGTCACAGCCGAACACTACTCTTGCCGCACGCATTTGCGCCGCCAACTTGTCCATTACGAAGGTCCTGACCGGATACGCTTCGCCCATCATTTCTTTGAACAAGCCGAACAGTTTACGCATGGGAGCAAACTGCTCGCTCTCTACGAACGCATACATAACCGGACGCCCGGTTCCCATGCCGTCCGTTATCAAGAATGTGTATAGTTTATATCTAAATACCGAATATTAGATGCTTTAAAAAAACTTACCCAAGGCGGTTTGTTGCATGTGTCCCGTCCACATTCACTACGTCGGGAAAGCGTCGGAATAACGCTATCTGCTGCCATCGGGAGAAACATATGTGGCTATAGTGACCTTCCTCTCCCTGACACACAAGAACGCGTCCGGTCTCCCGAAGTTTTGCCAGGACCGAAGGCATATCATCTGCTACATTAAAACCCAACCATTAGGCACCTACTCAACATAGCCGGTCGACACTTCCGGCGGTAGTTGTGTATATCCTTAGTTGTAAGAATCTTTCCGAATTCATCCGCCACAAACTGCCGCACCTCAGATGACGGCGTTCCATATCTCAGCAGGGCCTGGCATGTGCCAAACTCGTCTTCGGTTAGGCGTCGATTAACTGGAAACCGATCGTACAGAAACTTTGACAGTTTGTGGTTGTGTTCCAGAAAGAAGAGGCCACCCACCAGTTGATTCCTTTGCCTCCGTAGACAAAATATGCACTGGACAGCTGTTGCTTCGCGTACTTTTTTATTAGAAAATACGCTCGGCTTACTAACTTCTTCGGATTCCACGGATTTCCGTTGGTCTTGGAGGGCGCCTGCTGTATTTGTAATACACCCATTCGTAACGCAAAATAGTGTTGTTATCCTTCACGTATTCATTTAAGGTCTTCTCAAATGCCGTGAAGGATAAAAACGATACATCCACAAATTTATCAAAGAAAGCCACTTCCGAAGCGATAGCAGACGAAGTTCAAAGCCGAATGTGCGCCAATAATTTTCAGAAGAGATCGATTAAAACAAATCGCAAAAAAGTGACGGCAGATGAGGGGGGTTTTCAGTCTACGCATATATGCAAATAAGTGCAACATTTTGAAGTTGAAGTTTTTATTTTATCCGCAGGGGTTTTGCAGAAAAATGAATTGTGCGTGGCCGCTGGCACGTGTAACCGCCGCACGTGGGAGCTTGTTTCCTCCCTTGGCTTGTGCTCTTGTAGTCCAAGTGGGCCGTTTGTTTTGGACGCGTATCTACTCACTATGTTCTGAGAATCTCCTCCCATCCCCTCACCTTCCCAAGCTTTGAACTTCGGAAGCGCCCGTTTTGGACGACCTGGTTAGCTGATTACTACTCCACCTCGCCTATGATCTCCAACTCCGGGATCGCCAAGCGGACCAAGACTACCTACAATCCCATATCGGTTTCGTTCCAGCCAGTTTCCTCGACCAGGCTGAAATGAATACCGCTGCTCAGTGAACTGCACACCCCAGCCGAATCATCTCAAATATGACGTCCATACCGGGGCTGTCCAAAATCTCGAAGATGTCAGGCCATACTCAGTTTGATAGCACACCCGCAACTGTTCCATTCCTCCTCCCAACCGTGCCCTCTTGCCTACTCGTTTCATTGACCCTAACTGCCACCATGACATTCATTCCCACTGTTGGACTACTCGTTCGAATTAAACCACCTCTGTGTCTCCATCCAACCAAACCCCCGCACCTGACTTCCCTACAAAAGTGCAACCAGTGAGTCTGATTTTTCTCAGATTGCACCATATTTTCGAGACCAAACTTGCCATGTTCTCCCAATTCGAATCATCGCATCTCCACCTCCACTTTATCTCGTTGTGACTCCTGCCATTTACCCAACTGCCCAAGGTCGCTCGCGGCCAGCAGTGGTTTTCCAGTTTTGGTTCATGTCAGCCGACTGAGTCTTTGAATTAGTCGGACCTCATGCTCATTGTTCCCTACAAGTTACGAAAGAAACCTGTTATCATTATTTCATCGAATACTCCTCATTGTTCATAACGTTGTCTCCATTTCGCGGAATCCCCACTTGCCGCAAATCCCCCAGTCACATGCCCCATTCTGACTGTAAGCGCATGATCATGCCCGATGGTATGCCAACCACAAGTTGGGAATATACATTATTATTATTATTACTGTCGAGGTTTGGATAATTTGTGAGTTGGTCATACACCGGTAGTATCGTATGGAAACCCAGCTCCGACCTTGTTCTGCCTACCCGGCTGGTATTGCATTGCGTCACTCAAAGATACCGTTCGCCCGTTAAAGTACTTAACATCTTACGTCTAGTTCTAAGTAAAGATGTCAACTTTGGAACAATTTGGAAGAAAACGATTTGGACGCGGAAACGATTGAAGCCGGCGGGGGGGAAATATCAATGCAGTTTGCTTCGCGCCCCGGTTCTTATAAGTCACTTTGGGCATCTAGTCGTAAATGTAGTGTAGCTAAGAATGCCTTAAGGATTGCTCAACTCCAGGTGTATCGGGTTAAACGAGAGGTCGAGCTCCAGCGGGCTCTCTTAGAGGCACATAGCAAAACTGAGTCAGCCAAAATTGAGCTAGAGGCCGAGGAGGAATCACTAGATGAAATCTGAAAACCAGTGGCCTCAACTGAACGATTAAGGGGGTACGTGAAACAATGTCAGATAGATGAAGGACCCCTAGGATATGCTGATGATATCAGAGGGCCAAAACCGGCAATTTCCGCCACTCCAGTGTCAGCCACTATGGACCTACCAAAAGTGGAACTATCATATTTGATGGTAATCCGTGTCATAACTGGAGGTCACTCGCCGATTTGAGTTATACATTGAGAGCAAGGTGCAGGACGCCGGTCAGAGGCTCCTTTATCTTATCCACTACTGTCAAGGCGAAGCGAAGGCGGCCATTGAAGAATGTGTGATGCTCCCGCCGGAATTGGTATACTCCAGCGCTCGGGAGATTCTAAGCAGTCTCTTTGGTCAGCCTCATATTATCGCTTGCTGTCTACTAGAAAGCCTGTTTCGGTTTGCACGAAAGACTAATGGAGCAGCCAAGTCCTTGTCGGACTTGTGTATAACAATGCGCCGTTGTGAAATTGCGCTGACGCAAATGTGTTTCGTCTCACACTTGCGCTCACTAGCGGTTGTAGAGAGAAATGTGCATTCTCTTCCCTCGCCATTTCAGCACAAATGGGCTGAGGTGGCAGAAAAGATACCTGTAAGTTGCCGGGACCCAACGTTCACAGACTTGACGGAGTTTGTGAACACGCGCTCCCGAGTTGCAAGGAGTTGGTTTGGGCAACTGGCTCGAGAAGGGGACGTAAGACGCCCTCCTGTAACGCACACTTCCACCACCCAAGCCTCTAGACGGGATGGTTTTACCAGTTTCCAAAACAACATCAGGCCATACGCAGACGGTCGTCCAAGTGCTGGCGCATTATGTTCACGGCCTCACCCAATTTTTACTCGCCAGTGCTTTCTATCTATGAAAGTTCCTGACAAATGGAAATGCATACGGGAGCATAATGCATACTTTGCCTGTTTAGGAGACTCCCACATGGCCAAGAATTGCGGGCCAGTATTTCGATGCGACCATACGGGTTGTAGGGGACGATATCACAGGTTGTTACATACACCACAACCCGGAAAAAAAGCTTCGACGTCCTCAGAGACGGAGGTTTGTGTGCCTTAACTCGAGGTAGTCGGCTTCCGGCACGCCTAGGAGTTATTCCTGTTAGGCCTGACAGTCCTGCAGGAAAGGTGTCAATGTATACATTTTTAGACGCTGGGTCCGGCATCACGCTAGTGAAGCAGGGCCTTTTGATGAAAAATGGTGTCAGGCTGCTACCCACGTTTGTGGCCACTGATACACCGGGTGGTACCATGGGATGCACATCGGAAGTTAATGACATCAGGCTTTTATCAGTAGATGAAATCCAGTTGATGGATATTGACAAAGTATTCGTCGCTGACAGCTTACCTATGTGAGCCGTCCCATCCATCAAAGAAGCGGCTCGCAAGTGGCCTCACCTCAAGGAAGTTGCCTTCGACGAACTGACTGAAAACGATGTAGGAATCCTTATTGTTTGTAACGTATCTGAAGCGCACTGGGTCTTCGACCAGCGCCTGGGGGTCAAAGAACAGCCGTTTGCTGTGAAAACGTCTTGGTCTGATGAAAAACGGGACGAAGCAGGTCGTCAGTCATTGTATAACCGGGTGCAGTCAGGGCATCCAGGAACATTTGCAGCGGCTGTACAAATCGGAATTCACAGACACTTCAACATAGAACACTTGTCTCTCTTTGGAGGACCAAACAGCACTATTGATAGCAAAGACTTGTGCGGAGTGAGTAAGTGGGCACTATCAGCTACCGCGCTCATGGAAGGATAACACACTTGCCCTACCCGATAACTTCCAGTTGGCCAGAAAACGTCTAGATAATCTGAAACCTAGATTGTGAAAGGATCTTATTTTACACGGACATTACAATAAGGTGCTTGGGGCGTACATGAAGAAAGGATGCATTGAACGGGTGGCAGTTGCTTCCACATTGTCATTAAGTTCAAAGCAGTGGTATCTCCCACACCAGCCGTTAATTAGCCCAAAAAAGCCAGAAAATATTCGGGTTGTATTTGACTGCGCCGCCAAATGTCATGGTGTGTCCCCGAACGATCACCTGTATCCGGGCACTGATTTAACCACAAGACTTGTAAATGTTATGCTGGGCTTTCGTTTAGAGCAAATTGCTGTAGCAGCCGACATTGAAGAAATGTTCCTACAAGTCAAGTTTGATCCCTCTGATAGAGGTGCTCTGAAAAGCCTTGTAGCGCAGGCTAACCGATTGGAGGGAAATGATGTCATGTGCCCACTAATGTCTCGGTTCTCCTGTTGGATGTAGCTACAGAAGGTCCTGGCTTGGTTACTGCGTTACAGGCTATGTCTATTGAGTAAGGCGGGCAGAGCAAGAAAAGAGGCTTTACTTCCCGGTGTTATCGGAGAATCCGAACTCCGCGGAGCACGAAATTGTTTGGTAAAGATGGTGCAATCCAGTCACTTCGAGCGAGAGCTGCATCAGGTTAACGCTTCTTTACTGGATGCGAAGCGTTCCAGCTTACGAAAATTGTCACCCGTCATGATCGGTGATATTTTGTCCGTGTGAGGCGGACTTAGTTACTCGAACTGCAGTCAGTCAGTAAATCATCCAGCTCTTTGGAGCCGACATTTTGTTGCAGCCTTGATTGTACGCCACCTTCATGAAGTAGGACACTGTGGAGTGGGGCAGGTCTTGACATCCATTCGACAGCGACATAGGATTATAATAAGACCGGCGCCGCCAAACGAGTGATTGGTGTGTGCTCTTTATGCAGGTGCCAGTCCGCACAGCTTGGTACACAACTGATGGCTTCATTACCAGCAGACAGAGTAGGCGTGGGTTGGTGCTCCTTCGAGTGCATGGGAGCGGACTACTTTGGACCTTTTGAGACCAAAAGCGGCCGTTCGCAGGAAAAACGCTGTGGCTCTATCTTTAGCTGTCTTAAGACTAGGGCAGTCCATTTGGAAATGGTAGGCAACCTGTCGACCGATTCATACCGAAAATGTTCTATACGCTCCGTTGGGAGACGTGGCAAGCCCACTGGTATCTACAGTGATGATTGTAGGAACTTCGTTGGTGCGGTAACGGG